CGGTCACTCGCTCTCAGCTCTGCCTTCGGATGAGTCCGTAGAGCCGAGTGGCCCGTATCCAGAGCTTGTGGGCTGCCTCATGTACCTGATGACCTGCACTCGACCTGACCTTGCATACCCCCTTAGCATCTTAGCACGCTATGTCGCTCCTGGCCGTCACAGGAAGGAGCACATGGATGCTGCTAAGAGGGTGTTGCGCTACTTGTGCAGTACGTCGGGCATGGGGCTTGTGCTTGGAGGGCGGGACCGGGTTGTTCTCACAGGGCACTCAGATGCTTCTTGGGCAGACGACCAGGCTACTCAGTGGTCGTCACAGGGTTACACCTTCAGCCTTGGCTCTGGCTCAGTTTCTTGGCGTTCTACTCGTTCGTCTTCTGTTCTCAGCTCCAGTTGTGAGGCTGAGATCTACGCCACAGCCATGGCTGCTCAGGAGCTGCGCTGGCTGACCTACCTGCTGACCGACCTCGGAGAGCGGCCTCGTTCTCCTCCAGTGCTGTACGTCGACAACAAGGCTGCCATTGCCTTGTGTGAGGAGCACAGACTGGAGCACAGAACGAAGCACATTGCTCTGCGGTACTTCCTTGCTCGAGAGCTGCAGCAGCGCGGTCAGCTTCGTCTGCGTTACGTGGCCACTGAGGCCAACACTGCTGATGTGTTCACCAAGGCACTCCAGCCTTGTGACCATCAGCGCTTCTGTACTCTGTTAGGTCTTGTGCCTACTGGCCCTCACTTGCTCACTTCTTGACTTTGCCTGTACTGTGATCACTATATATTTATATACCTGCATGTTTACTCTTGCTAGGTTGTGATCATTGTACGTCTTGCTCTATTATAAACCTGCATGTGAACTGGTCTTGTGACCGCTTGTTTGTGCTCGGAATTTGTGTGGAATCCTCGAGATCCACCCTGAGCTTGTTTGCCTTACTTTGCCTTGACTGGTCTTGTGACCCCTAGGTCTCCCCCACTTTGCCTATGGGGGTGTGTCAAACATTATATATGTTTGGTTTGTTAGGCTACAGTGGGTTAGCCTGTATGGGGTACACAATTCTAGGGTTAGCTATTTGTACTGATTTCTCTGTTAGTTCAACCATTCCCAGTCTCGTAATCTTGACATGTGTATCCTAAAAAAATGATCAAAATCTGTCAAATCCAGTTCAAGTGAACACACTCACTGAGTGGGCAAAGAACCTTCTCGAAAATGACAGGTTGACCATTTTTTTAAAACCCACAGATATGCATTGTGAATGCAGATGCATATGGATCAATGCACACATGCATGTCATGCACACACACTGACACATTCACCAGAAGACACACAAAACAGAGACGCAAAGTCAAGAAGTCACGAAATAAATCTACCGAAACAGTGTAGTACCATCAATCAATTTAAGCACTATTATCTGTCTTTTGCACAGATTGTTCTTGACTTCCCAAATGGTACAGCAAAACCTCTGAGAATAAAGATGAGGAAAATGGGAGGGAGAGGGGCGGAGGGGGAACACGGGGCGAATTTGGATTAGATTAGATGGAATGGGAGAGAAAGGATAAAAGAAAAAGAACAGAAAGAGAAGGATATAAACTTGGACAACGATACAGAAAATGGATTTAAACGGGAGGAACGAAGAGGAAGAAGATGGAGAGAACCTGACATATCAAAGAAAATATTGAACTAATGAAGAAAGAAATGCAACAAACAACCATACAAATTGAAAGAAGGGCAGAAGAAGGGCAAGATATTGAAGGGCAGAAGCAAGATAAAAGGAACAAACAGAGAAGAAGGGCAGAAACAGAGATATTGAAGGACGTGGAGAAACCAAACAGAATCAGGAAACACTGAATGACTGAATGAAAGGAAGAGAACATCGGCAAACAAGGCAGTGGGATATAAGAAGATCACATGAGAAGAGGAAACAATGAGAAGTGGAAAGGAGAATGGCTTCAAAGAAAACAACGTAACATTGAGAAGAATGGTAGGGAAAGCTAACATTAGAAAATAACTTTGATTTATAACATAAAAATTGGACAGAAGGAAATAGGAAAGGGTAAAGTGAAAAAGAGTGAAAAGGGTAAACGTTGGGAATGAAAATGAGGAGAGGAAAGTGCGCGGAGTGAATAGGAGTTTAATTAACACGAAGAAAGAAATAAGAAACAAAAAGGGAAAGAGAGATAGGCATAGAAAGCGACTTCGATCGTGAATTAAAACAGAGAAGGAACAGACAAGAAAACGACATTCGAAAGTAGATTGAACAGAAGGGAAAAACAACTGAATGGAACGCGAAGTAATAGAAGGAAAAGAGGAGGTTGAAACTAGACTTTTGCGAAGACAAGGACAGACGGAAGCAAAGGAAATCTTTCAGGTATTTTAGTGATTGTTCAGTTACTAAACATCAAACAATGGAAAGACAATGACAATGGTATATGACGAAGTGAGAAAAGAAGAATGGAATCATGAGATGCACTAGAAAGAGAGGAATGATAAACAAGGAAATCTAAGGGAGGAACAACATGTCAGAATGCTATTATTGTCTAGCCTGCAGTGGGGTACTCTATAGCGAGTACAGCCCAATCTAGGGTTTGCTATTTGTACTCAACTGCCTGCTAGTTCAACCCCTCTCCTTTCATTCATTCTTGCCTAGTGATTCTGACATGGTATCAGAGCAGGTTGACCCTCCTGGGTCGATCCTGTGGGTGGGCCCACCACCTAAGCCTTCCGCTGCTACTGCTACTGCTACTGCTACTCCCTGTCCGCCGCGCGCCCCGTGGCGCGCGGCGTCGAAACTAGGGTTTTCAGCCCGCCGTGCGCCCCGAGGCACGCGGCGGTTTTCTGCCCGCCGTGCGCCCCGAGGCGCGCGGCGGTTCTCTGCCCGCCGTGTGCCCCGAGGCGCGCGGCGGGTTCCTGCCCCGTCACTCGGCACGTCGCCCCCGGGAGGCGCTGCGACGGGCGACGGGGACCCGCGCGTCGCCCCCCGTCGCCCGTCGTGGCCTGCGCGCGGCCCGTACACCCGGCACGCGGCCCGTACGGGCTGCGCCAGGCCCGCGCGCGGCCCGTACGGGCTGCGCCAGGCCCGCGCGCGGCCCGTACGGGCTGCGCCAGGCCCGCGCGCGGCCCGTACGGGCTGCGCCAGGCACGCGCGCGGCCCGTACGGGAAGCGCCAGGCCCGCGCGCGGCTCGGGCCGCCTGCGCGCGGTTCGGGCGGCTCTACCAGGCCCGTGGGCGGCCCGTTCCTCGCTGCTCCTGCCCTCTCCACTGTCCCCCGTGCTTCTACCGGCGCCTCACCCCTCCTACAGCCCGTTCTCCTAAATTAGGGTTTGGGGGTGAAGAGTGTGGGGGTGGCGGCTATGGGGGTGTCGGTTGTGAGTTCCTCCCCCTGCTCCTCCTCCTCCCTCGTCTCCCTCTGCTACAGCTGCCGCTGAGGGGGGTGGTGTGTGGGAGCCTAGGGTTTGGGGTTTAAGGGGGGTACCGTCGGAGTGGAGCTAGGGTGTCAGCAGGGGGTGTGTGAGAGGGGCGTGGGACGGTCGGGGGAGATTGCGTGGAGGTAGCCGTCGTGACGCCAGCAGCGCCAGTAGTCCGGATGCCCTCGCGCGTTTCGGTAGCCCAGCGAGCCTGCTTCGCCAGTCGCCTGTGGGTCCGTTGCTCCTGTGTGTGCTCGTCGTAGCCGCGGAGCCAGATACTCCCGTAGTCCGGTGCCCTCGTGCGCTCGGTAGCCACTGTGCGCGCCGCTCCTGTTGCCCGTGTGTCTGCAGCTTCAGTCGGCGCCTTTCATCTTCTCTCCTCTCGCCAGCCCTCCTCCTCCTCGCTTGCCCTCTGTGACTGCCTCTAGCTTTGCTCATAACTGTGAACTTTAAACTATTGCTTCTTGAACTTGTGCTCAGAATGTGTGGTGACATTGTGATCCACCCTGAGCTTGTACTGCTTTGCTTGCTCTGCTGATTACACCCCACTTTGGCTATGGGGGTGTGTCAGAATGCTATTATTGTCTAGCCTGCAGTGGGGTACTCTATAGCGAGTACAGCCCAATCTAGGGTTTGCTATTTGTACTCAACTGCCTGCTAGTTCAACCCCTCTCCTTTCATTCATTCTTGCCTAGTGATTCTGACACAACATGGTAGAAAGAAACAAGCTACGGAGGGGAAACGAACGACAGCACGAAACGAGGTGAAAGAGGAGGTGCATGGCGAAGAAAGAAAGACTTACGAGCGCAAGGAGACTACAAATGAAGCGCAAGAGAAAAAGAGCAATGAGGTAATGGAACTACTAAGAAAACAAGGAAGACTCACCACGAACGACTATGTCTTTGCACGTCCAAGACACTTGACGGTAACGCCTGAACGGCAACGAGTACAGAATCGTTAACAAGGGAAAATCTGATGTAAATTTTAATCTTCAACGGTGCCTAAAGCAGCCAACAGAAGATACTAGCACACTAGAGCTCTATTTATTTGAGTTTCAGAAGGCTAAGTCGTGTTAGGTATGCACCTACCTCTGTTGACATCGCTCTGCAGAGCGGGTGGAAGCGAGAAAATTGAAAAGAGGAAGCTACGAAACCCTACCCAGTTCAGATTCGTCGCAAAGCATATCGCTGGTTACCTTAGTTGGTAGAGATTCGACATTGCTTCTAGCGCAGTCGTTTTACATAAACTGCCCCTTTTAGCGCAGTTGTTTTACATTGGTTCGAATCCTAAGTTCCAATATACATTAACTGCCCCTTTTAGCAGTCTCAAAACCTTCTGAAATATGGATAACTTTTGATTCAAAAGAGGAATCATTACCGTACAAACAAAAGTGATACATGTATATAAAAAACACAGCTTCGCAACCCTAAGACGATCTCGTCGCCTCTTGTTTTTATTTTTTTCCCTACAGCTATATGTTTTTGTCAGAATGTATGTTTTGCACTGTACCTCACAACAGCAATGGTTAGGGCTATGGTATGGCTGTTGGAAGACCCATCCGCCTGCTCCGAAAGGTGACGTGTCATGCCATCGCTGCCACAACAGTCATGGATCTTGGCAGCGTCGTGGCAGTGCTCGAAGTTGCCACATCATCAGGGCCTGATTTTCAGTTCGCCCGCGTCATTGACGGGCCCCGCAAGGCAGCTTTCTCCAGGCTTCGATACGGCATCAGGGTCATATGGAAATTTCGCGTTTGCGGAGAGTTCGAAGCCGTATTGCAGCTCGGTCGCGGTCCAACAATTTCACAGTTTCTCCAGCATCTTCGCAAATGCCCTTCTAAGAACGGTCACAAGGGCCCCACCTAAGTCCAGGTGTTTACGTAACGACTGGCAAAATGACGGTAGAAACTGGCCTTCATGTCGTAATGTAAACGCGTTTGCAGCTGCTACCGATGGTCAGAGCATCCGTCATATCCATTCCACCCCAGTTCAAATTCTATAATCAATTCCTTCAGCTTTGGGTGAGCAGCTCTCATTCTCTGCCTCCCTGAGTCTGCTGCTTGTTCCCAGTTGCGTTGCGTTTTCGAGTTAGTCTTCACCTCCTTAGCGCAATGGCGACCGTCGCTGCTCCGTCCACCAGCCTTCGCTGCTCCGTGCTGTCCTCGCAGGGCAAGGCCGTTGCTGGCCGGCAGCTCGCTGTTGGCTCTGCCAGACCAGCAGCAGCATTTTCAAAGAAAGCAGCACTTGTCGCGAGTAAGTAGACAATGTTACACGTTTGTTCTCGCCAGTGAAGATTCGCGCGAGTGAGTAGACATTTCTGCGAGTACATATACATTCTGGTTACTATGGATAAGTTTTCGCGAGGTAGTAGGCACATTTGCCGAGTAGACACCGCGAGACATTTTTTTTCCATTTCCATTATTTACATTAGTTCACGGCGAGCGCAAATCCTTATCGCGTAGAGCTTAGTTGTAAGCCAGGTTGAAGAGAGACATCGTCATGTTCCTGTGTCATGACACCACGCGACGCGTGCCTCGTATCACTGCTTTTGTCATCTCGCCGTTCCGTGCTCTTTCGCACTCGCTGTGTTACACGGTAACATGATACATGGTGGCGTCAGACACCTACGCTCGTTCAGACATCTACGCTGTGACATTACATAATCACATTGTACGGTGTTAGAGAAGGTGCAAGACGGTAATGACAGGGTTTGTTCAATCGTGAAACCTAATCCGTTGTATCCAAAAGTTGTTAATTCGAACGCTAATCATTGCCTCGACAAGTCGTATGGAACAATCACCGAAATGTTCCCCCTGAAAGGCCACAATTTTAGCACGCACTCTCTCCAGATATCAACGGTTGGATTTCCCGCACACGTCAACAATCCTCCTCTCCCCTCACCCTCGCGTCAAAGCTACCGTTCCCTCTTTTCCCCCCTCGTCCATTCCTTCCCCCTCTCCCCACCCCCCCCCGTTTCCGTCCCCCCCCTTCCCCGGTCTGCTCATTCCCCCCACCGTTCCCCTTTCTCCTCACCCCCTCCCCCTCTCCCCCCTTCCTTCCTCCCAGGGGCCTCGGCGGAGGAGAAGCCATCGTTGGCGGCGTCCGTCGCCACGGCGGCAGCCACCGCCATTTGCGGCGCGTGTGTCGCCGTCTCGCTCGCTACTGCCGCTCCCGCCCTCGCCGCTCCCTCGCCCAGCCAGGTGAGGCTCGAAACAGTCAGATGAGGCTCGGAACAGCCAGGTGAGGCCCGGGATGGCCAGGTGAGGCTCGGAACAACCAGGTGAGGCCCGGGATGGCCAGGTGAGGCTCGGAACAACCAGGTGAGGCCCGGGATGGCCAGGTGAGGCTCGGAACGGCTCGGAACGGCTCGGAACGGCCAGATGAGGCTCGGAACGGCCAGGTGAGGTTCAGAACGGCCAGGTGAGGCTCGGAACGGCCAGGTGAGGTTCAGAACGGCCAGGTGAGGCTCAGCAAAGCCAGGCGAGGCTCAGCAAAGCCAGGTAAGGCTCGCTCTCTTCCATTCCCTCCTCGTTTTTCCAATTTTCCCATCCCCTTGCCCATCCCCTCCCCACCCACCTCCGCACCTTCCCCCTCCCCATCCCCCACTGCAGGTGCGCCTTCCCCCTCTCTCCAATGACCCTGCGCGCTGCGAGCGAGCATTCGTGGGCAACACGATTGGGCAGGCGAACGGCGTGTCGGATAAGGTGCTGGACCTGAGGCAGTGCGACTTCTCGGGGGACAAGGAGAACCTCAAGGGCAAGACGCTGTCGTCTGCTCTCATGTCTGGCGCCAACTTTGACAACGCGGATCTCACTGAGACCGTCATGAGCAAGGCTTATGCCGTTGGGGCCAGCTTCAGGGGTGAGTGGGAGAGGAGGTTCCAGGGGTGAGTGAGAGAGGAGGTTCCGGGGTGAGTTGGCGGTGTGTTGTCCGTCTGAAGGGGGTTGCTGGGAAAGAGGACGAGTTGTAACTGTTTGTGAGAGCAGAGCTGCAAGGTGCTGGACCTGAGGCAGTGCGACTTCTCGGGTGACAAGGAAAACTTGAAGGGCAAGACGCTGTCGTCCGCGCTCATGTCGGGCGCCAACTTTGACAACGCCGACCTCACTGAGACCGTCATGTCCAAGGCCTATGCCGTTGGGGCCAGCTTCCGGGGTGAGTGGGGTTGAGCTTCGTGGGGTGAGTGCGGGGATGTGTAGGGGGGAGTGGGGTGAGCTTCACTCTTTGTATGTCGTGCCCTGCCTTTCACTTCCTCATAACATGCTCATGCTACCCGTGGCTCCAGCTCTCCCACCCCATCCCCACCTCTCTCCACCGCATCCCCACCTCTCTCCACCCCATCCCCACGCTGACTCCTTGCGTGCTGCATGCTTTATGTTTCCTCTCCTGCCCACTCACTCAGGTGCGAACTTTGCCAACTCGGTGTTGGATCGGGTGCTCTTCAACGAGTCCGACTTGATGGGCGCATCAATGCCATGCTGACTCCTTGCATGCTGCATGGTTCATGTTTCCTCTCCTGCCCACTCATTCAGGTGCTGACTTCGCCAACTCAGTGTTGGATCGGGTGCTTTTCAACGAGGCCGATCTCACCGGTGCGTCGTTCCGCAACGCGGTGCTCTCGGGGTCCACGTTCAACGACGCCAACCTCACCGACACCAGCTTTGAAGACGCGCTCATTGGTTACGTTGACGTGCAGAAGCTCTGCCGTAACAAGACGCTTGGCGAGTTCACGCGCCTGGAGCTCGGCTGCAAGTAGAAGGGTAGTTTGAGATGACTCAAAATGTGCAGAAGCTCTGCCGCAACAAGACACTTGGCAAGTTCACGCGCCTGGAGTTCGGCTGCAAGTAGGGTAGATGCTTGGCCTGCCGCACAAGGGCTCTTTTTTGTGTGCATATGTATGCTTTATTTTTGCTAGATGACGATACGGTGTGTCCTGCTTGAAGCGACAGCCAGTCAGACGAGCACGTTGTTATCAAGGCAGACTCTCTTGCGCCGAAGATAGTGTAATGATCTAACTACCACACCAGTGTGATGGGCGAGGTTGGGGATGCATCACTGCACTATTGGGTGCCAGAAGTGCGGTGTTTGAAATTCACGGCACACGTGAGGGGTGGGGGGGAAACGGTGGTTTTGAAATAACGCAATAAATCATGGTTTCCAATGTGGCATAAATTAGTTTTGAACGAAATTGTTCCAATTACGGAAATTGTTTCGTCAACATCCGGTCGACATCACTGCAATTGTTCCAACGAGGACAGCCATTTTGTTTCATTTCGCCTGTCAAATGTGGAACGGAATTTTTGTTGCCCTGATGATTTTGTACGCCCCCTGCGGTCAACTTCGTTTTGTCACGGTGCAAAACGGTAAGCCTTGTGAATCGCTTTCCACCGTGTGGAACTGAGAGGAATGAACAACCTACATCGCCTTCAACTCTATCACCTTCAGTTCCTACCTTCTGCATTTCTGATCTGAACGCGCACAGAGCCTGCCCGATTACTGCCAACTAGGTTCTATCGGTGCAGCTGAGACACGAACGTCTCTTATTGATTGGGATAGACAGCGAGCTGCTTTGTTCCGTGAAACGGAACGCACGATGCCGCTATTATTTCACATATCCAATGGCACGCGGACGTTTGCATTATCGCTGGACCTCTGGCCGAATGGTTGGCGGACCAGCATTGACTGTCCGTGTTCCGCGATTAGCTCACTCGAAGCAGCTGAGCGCTGCTTCCACCCTTGAACGCTAGCCTTTTCATGCGCAAATTGTTTATTACCACCATCAGAACCACATTTTTTCTCATCATCAGCTTTTTCCTTACCTAGTCGTCCCGTACCAAGAGCTCCTCCTTTTGAGACCGCAAACCCCTTTGGAGCCGCGAGCTTCTTTTACATCAGTGGTAGCGCTGTCTAGGAATTCTCAGCGACAGCTTCAGAAACACACCTGCGATGGCTCTTCCCCGTGTTCTCACGTGCCTCCTTATCATCGCCGGTACGACATGCCTCCTTCCTCAGTTGCTGCGCCAGTTGCTGGGCTGATTGACACGCTCATATAGTTCTTGTTCGTTTGTGCTGCAGCAACTGACGCAGCACAAGGCGCTTTGTGCCGCTTTATAAGATCGTTTTAATAACCTCGCTTTTGTGGTCGGCTGCAGGCGTGCTGGTCTCGGCAGCGGTTCCCGGAGCTGAGGCGGTGAGCGAGGCGGACAAGCAGCGCGCCGTGAAAGCGGGCCTCGCGTTCGTCAAGGCCGTTCTCGCCATGCTCTTCCCGCCGCCCACGCCCGCCGCCAGTCAGCGCCTCCCCGCCTTCCCCCGCGCTCTCTTCGTCCCTTCCTTCGCTCTGCAAACCGCTCGCCCTACTCGCGGGCTTAATCGCTTCAGCAGAAAGCCCGAAACTGAATCCAACGTGAAAGAATGTTTCTCGTGTTTATATTATCCGTGTCCCGAGCGACATGGCTCTTCCTCACCGCACCGTCCCTCATGATCGTCTCGCCTCGTCCGTTTCTCCCTGCCACATGCATCCCTGCCAATGCAGAGTTCTACAAAGCGGACTTCTCAGACTGGAACGTAGCTGGGACGTTCAGCATCGCTGTCCCGTCCAAGTAAGAAATCCTCCCCATTCCCCACTTCCTCGCCCCATCCCTTGTAGCCCGCTGACCCCCGCAAGCTGTTAGTCCGCCACCCCCATTTCCTCAAATTTTCGAACCGAGCATGCCATGCTCCCTTGCGCTGCCCTCAAACCCAATTTCACCTGCTTCGTTCCTCCCAAACCTCCCCCTAACCTTGACAGGTCCGCGACCAAGACATCGCAGTTCCGCCTGACCACCGCAGGCTCGGTCAACCCGCCGCTGGAAGTGACCCTGAACGCGAAAACTCCCGTCGTGCTGGGTGCACTCGGAAAGAACTTGCAGTGCTCTCAAGTAGCGCCGAGCGTGTGGGACTGCTTCGGCCAGACCAAGCTGACCCAGGCCGACATCAACAGCATCGGATTCACAGCTGGCGTGGGGGTTCGTGTTGACTCGCATGACGTGAGTCTCACCTATCCTGATGCGCGCAACCAGGCAGTAGATGCCACCTCGAAGCTTGCGAAAGCGACGTCTACGAAAATGGATCAAGTTTTCGGTACGTTGCCCGCCCCCAGTTTAGTTGAGATGTCGAAATTGTAACCCGGTTAAGAATTTGTGTACTTTTCCCTGTCGAGATGAGAGATCCTTTATCTCAACTGGCACCCCTATATTTCTCAGCTCACCTCTTTTGCTCACATTCAAATTAATTTGTAACGACCAACTATCGCCTTCCAAACTTGATGTTGCTGCAGGCAAAACCGATCTGCTTCTTGGGGTTCCTGCTGGAAGGTTTCAGGCAGTGATCAGCGGGGACGAGATCAAGGGAGGTGCAATGTTTGTAGTCTCCAATTTGTAAGTCCCTTTTTGCACCACTAATGCTGGGTATTGCTACTTAGAATCCATTGCACGTCCAAGCTGCAATAGGGCTCAATCAACCCCTTGTCCCCTCTGGTCCTCCCTTGTACCTCCCTGTCCCTCGTTATCCACTGTCCCCCTTCTCCCTCCCCCGTTCTTTTCCATCCTCCCTCCCTTCTCCCTCCTCCCTCCTTCTTCTCCTCTCTCCTTCTCGCTCCTCCTCCCCCCTCCCTCCTCCCTCCTCCTGCCTCCCATGAACCTCCTCCCCTGCAGGAACCGCAAGTGCACCATCGACTACAGCATCATCCTCATCTCCCCAGAAGCCCTCACGCCCACTGCCCTTGTCCTTTCTCCCTTCTTCTCCCATCCGCTTCCCCTGCAGGAACCGCAAGTGCACCATCGACTACAGTATCGTGCTCATCTCCCCAAACCGAACTCAACCCCTCTGCTCCCCTTGTCCCTTCCCATCCTTCTCCCCCCACCACGTCTTCTTTCTCCAGAAACCGCAAGACCATCATCAACTACAGCATCATCCTCATCTCCCCAGAAGCCCTCACGCCAGAAGCAACACTCACAGTCCTCGACCCCGCCACCCAAGAATCAATCATCATTCCCGTCGCCTGCAAGTGGGCCCAGCCCAGGCCTGGTGTGCACGTTTGCGAGGCCAAGGGCGATTTCCCCACCGCCATAGACACCGTTTTCTCAACGACCTCTCTTCAGCCTGCGGCCGCGGCTCGGAGTGCCGCTGCCAGCATGCGAGCAGCAGCCTTGCCAGGCTCGGCGGTGGACCTGGTGTTTAAGGTAACGGTGGCCTCGGGCATGATGGAAGAGTCTGTCGGCACGCTGCGCTACTCGTTGTAAATATTCACTTCCCAGGAAGAGGGAGAATGCGGAGCAGGAGTGTTTAAGGTGACGGTGGCTTCGGGCATGATGGAAGAGTCTGCTAACATGCTGCGCTACTCGCTGTGAGAGGCCACTTTTCAAGCTAGAGCAGTTTTCTAACCTGGAAATGCTGATTGCCGCTCCCAGATGTACCCAGGAAGTACCTTACCAGATCTCCATTGTGACGGTTTGATGACCAAATTGCAGTCATTAGTTGCTCACTGTAGCCTGGTCAGATGGCTTCTTTCAAATGGATCAAGTCAAGGGCCTCCTTGTCAGAGGTCTACTGGGGATTTCCGATGATCCTAGGGAAGGGTTACAGGCACGTCGACCTGGGGGGTTATGGGCGCACTCACCCGCTATATAAACAAGCCCTTTTATCCCAGTGGTTAGTGACTGGGATTCTGACATGGTATCAGAGCGAAGGTCTCGGGTTCGATTCCCGGTGTGTGCACTTCGGGCATCCCAGTGCGGGGGGGTGTCAGAGGTCCACTGGGGATCCCCGATGATCCTAGGGAAGGGTTACAGGCACGTAGGGGGGGTTACTAAGGGGCGCGACGTGGGGCGGGCTGAGGGCCGCGCTAAGGCGCGAGAGGGCGCTAGGAGATGGTATCGAGAGGTTTTGGCAAAGAAGGGGTTGCACTAGAAAGAGTGGTACAAGATATAGGCAAGGCAAAGGGTACACCACCAGCAGTTGATATAACTAACCTAATACACTAGTAAGCTGTAGGCAGGTATAAGATATGCAATATAAATTAACACACCCCCGTAACTGCCTACGGCTATAGCTAGTGGTGTCTGGTAGCAGGTCGCCTGAAGAGCAGTTGCTGTAGCTGGGATACGCACAGAAACAGCGGTGGCTGATCGGCAGCACCTCTGACTGCCAGAACGGAGAGAGGAGAGCGTAGGCTGCCGGTGTTACACACCAACGGTTGGATAGGAGGAGGAAGCGTGGCGGAGGGCGTAGGCTGCCGGTGTTACACACCAACGGTTGGATAGGAGGAGGAAGCCGGTGGTGTACGTGAGGCGGATGAGAGGAGGAGAAGGCGGAAGCAAGGGCGCAGCGGAAGGGAGAGAGTCATGAGGAGGCGAGAAGTGGAGAAATACGAGTAAAGGAAGTGCAGCGGAAGGAGGAGGAGAAGAGGGGGGCGGCTGCCTTAAAATAACCGCCATCCCCACACCCTCTTCCCCCCCCCCCCCCCCCCCCCCCCAAACGCGGCACGCACTGCAGATGCACGGGCAGCGATGAGGAGGAGGATGAGGGAGGGTGGGGAGGGTTCAAGGGGGCTTAAGCACCCCCGTAGCCGCTGGCGCGAGCCCCACCACCTCCCCCCCGCAACAGCCACCGTAGAAGAGAGCGGCGGCAGGTGCGGAGGCGGGGAGCGGGGTAGCGATGGCGGGGGCGCTGGCGGCCGCTGCTGGCGCTGGCGCTGGCGATTGCGACAGTCGCTGGCGCACGGCGCTGGCGCTCGCGCAGGCGTCCGCGACGGTCGGAGGCGCTGGCGACGGCGTCCGCGACCAGCGGCGGGGCGACGCGTCAGCGCGCGGGACGGGGCGACCAGCGCGTGGGGCGGGTAACGCGGGGCGAGCAGCGCGTGGTGGGCAACGGGGAAGCGCCTCGAAGGGCGCTGCGACGGTCGCCATGGCAACGACAGCAGCCATGGCGAATGAAAAAAATGGCAAGGTCCTTAAGAACGAACCTGCTCTGATAGCATGTCACAACAACTAGGTAACCTTAGGAGGCATGGCTTAGGCTTAGGAGGAAGACTAGGAGCTAGGCGTGAAATCGTGGATCGCCAGCTACAGGTGCGAGGAGCGAGGTATGAGTGGCTAAAACGGCTCTAACCTAGGTGACCGGCGAGGGAGAGCGGCTGCCAGCCGCTGAGGGATAGTCCAGTGTCATCAGATTTGGGGAGGGCCTCGCGCACAAGGCGGCGGTGGGGCTAAGGTGATGAACAGTGAGAGAGGGGAGGGGAGGGCGGTTTTGACGGTGGGAATGGGCGGGAGGGCGGTTTTGACGGTGGGAATGGGCGGGGAGGGCGGTTTCGACGGTGGGAATGGGCGGGAGGGCGGTTTGGACGGTGGGAAAGGGCGGGTGGGCGGTTTTGACGGTGGGGATGGGCGGGGGCCAGGGCGTACGGGCTACTGGGATTCTGACATGGTATCAGAGCGAAGGTCTCGGGTTCGATTCCCGGTGTGTGCACTTCGGGCATCCCAGTGCGGGGGGGTGTCAGAGGTCCACTGGGGATCCCCGATGATCCTAGGGAAGGGTTACAGGCACGTCGACCTGGGGGGTTATGGGCGCACTCACCCGCTATATAAACAAGCCCTTTTATCCCAGTGGTTAGTGACTGGGATTCTGACACTCCTTCCTTAGGTTGAGTGCAGTCACTGCAGTGTATGGGAGGGACGGTGGAGACTTAGTAAACGTTGAAACATGTTGGTACCATATGTAAGTTGTTTAGTATGGTAACCCGATTTGAGGTGTATTTTGACAAGATGTTAGCACAAAGCCACAAAATGCAAAACATATGGTACGGGGGGCACTTGCAACCGCACATTATATCAAGGATCTTATTTTATTACTATTACAGACTATAGTAAAGCTTCTCGCGCTGCCCATTCACTATCAGGGTGAAGGTCGAGGCCAGGTAATCCCCAGGCAAGGTAGCCCCCACCAATGCAGCCATAAACCTCTGCAATCCCAGCACCTTGGGCTTGGAACTAGTTTCCGCTGGGATATTCACGTCAATGGTCTTGACACAAGTGTACACGCCCTGGATTGGGAGTCCGATATAGTCATTAAGTGCGATGCTGAAGGGGCATGCGACAGGGAGTGGGTCTGACGTGTCAGCGCCGACCTGGCCCACCAGGAAGACTGCTGTGTTGGTGGTAACGCCCCTGCTGAACACCAGGTGCACCTCCAGGGTCACCTTGCTGTCACTGCATGCCGGGGGAGGAGAGTGGAGGGTAGCAGATGATACAGCAGTTAGTGAAGAAGAGGGTAGGAGCACAGGCTATGTTGGTGGTAACGTCCCTGGTGAACACCAGGTGCACCTCCAGGGTCACCTTGGTGTCACTGCATGGCAAAGAGTTGCACAGGAGGGGCATTTGAGACGGGGGGGCATGGGAGAAAGGGGAAGTGGGAGAAGGAACCATAAGCAACTCCAGGGTGAGCAGAGAGGGGGGGCTTTGTTCTTGCTGCTACTGCTCTTATTCTCTTTCCTGCCGTCGCTATTATGAAAAGATGTTTGACTCACTTGCTGGCGGCGATGCGGATCTTGGCTCCCCCTGCCACGGCGCCGGAGAACATGGCTTGGAACCGGCCGTTCGCCATGGATGGCAGCAGTCCTTGCTCTGTCACTGGTGGGGGTGCAATGGGTGGGATGCGGTGGGGATGGATGCTATGGGTCTGCTGCTTTTGAGTCGACTCAAGATCGGCCGCCTGCCATGGATGGCAGCAGTCCTTGGTCCGTCACTGGTAAGGGTGCAATGGGAGAGATGGGATGGGGACGAGTTGACTTTTGAGTTGACTCAAAAGTCAACATGGCTTGGAATCGGCCGTTTGCCATGGATGGCAGCAGTCCTTGCTCCGTCACTGGTAGGGGTGCAATGGGCGGGATGCAATGAGAGGGAACAGATGGGGACGAATGCATTGGGAGGAACAACACTGAGTCCGCGGAAGAGGGCATTAACTTTTAGTAATGCAAGTAGAAAGCTTAGCAGCAAGCACATGGCAGCAGAATAGCAGCAATCATGCGTACCTGTGTCATAAGCACCCGTCTCCGACTCTAAAACCAGCGCTCCAGTCGCCTCCAGCGTCCCGCCGTTCACCCCAGTGTGTGTAACCTTGACCGTTTTCGTGTCAGGGCCAGGCCAGGATGAGGGGTGGTTTCCAGGCCAGTAGGAAGAGTGAACCAGATCCCACACCCCCGGCGCCACCAGCTTCCACTGATTGCCATCTGTCGCTAGAGTCACATTGTCCCACAGAGACACCAGCATTGGAGGGTCCACGCTTCCCGCTATAATCACGCGGAAAATAGTCTGGAATGCAGGGCTGTGGTAATTGGAGCATGGGCCGGAACAGAGGAGGTGGAAGAAAACACGGAAATTTTCAGGCGATGAATGAAACAAAGCTCTCGCACACCCCGAGAACGGCTGGTCAGAGATTTTCAGGTGATGCAACGTCAAAGAAAAGGTCCTTACTTTGTTACTGATATTGTCATGGATATGATCCCCTGTGATTGGCTCGACACCAGCTGAGCAGTGGCGGGATCTGCAAAAGGGTCAGGCGGCGAAAGGCACGGTGCAAGTGAAGATTAGAGCGAGCATGAAGAGAGATGTCTGTGAGGGATTGCGAAGGGAGTGTAGAATGGCGCCATGACATGTTGTTCCGCGGCTCAAGTGGGCTCTTGCGAAAGCAAGCAAGAAAACGGCACGAGTCGTTCACAGCAGCCAAGACTACACGGGATACAGTTCCCCGCTCCAGGTTTGAGGCTTCTGGTTTGAAGCTTTCAAAACATGAGTAAGTTGACGTTGTAATTTACTGAATGTGATGACAAGAATAAACGAGAAGAGGAAACTGAGAGGTTAGAGCGGCGCGATTGCAAAACCTGGCCATGATCGAGTAATGATCACAGATCAATGTGTGGCACACAAAATCTACTATCCGTCGTACACTATAGGACTACTAATGCTACGGTGATCGCGGACGGCCTTACATGAGTCTTTCGGAATGGAGGGACGGAAAACGACGAGTTCCTTGTCCGTGAACGCGAACCCTGACGACACGGTGATAGGCGCCGCTCAGAACAGAATCACGAGGCCTGCGCAAACCGCGGCGATAGGGGTCAGAAAAATCTCGTGGAACAAATTACATCTCATGGAGAAAATGTGGTTGCAAATTACCGAACGTTACATCGCAACTGCTGGAAAAGGAGCTGCTTTTGAGATTTTAGAGTGATTCCAGAATTCGGATG